ATTAATGTAAAAAAATCAATTATAATTATTGTTTCATTTATTTTTACTGATATTTTAATTAATTTATTTTGATTATTGGTATAAAATATTTTTGTGGATTTATATTTAAAATATAAGAATATGGAAATATGAATATTTCTATCAATATATTTGAATTGGAAGATAAGTGAGAGAAAGAGAAAAATTTAATATTTTAATAAATAAAATTTTATTAAATAATTGATTATTCAATATAATTAATTAGTGATATTTATTTGCTAAATTTTAAAGTTATTTTAATGACTGAATTCACCTTATACAAGGCGATTGTTTTTAATTTTGTTTTGTTTGTATACGTCAGCTCGACACGTGAGAGGACTTTCTATGAGAAACTGACCCCGATTTAGATGTTACTAAGGTGAAGAAAACCGGAAAACCTCACGTGGCCAACCCGTTGGAGAGACGCGAACCCACGACCTACTCTACCAGTGTTCGCTAGTTTCATCCACTCTACCACTGGTAGGCATAATTGTTTTAAACAGTAGCTCCACATTTATATAAAACCTATTAATGTTATAGTTATAAGCAAGGAATTTGAGGCCTCTGCTATGTGATGTTTCTCTCTTCTCTGAAAGCCATAGATATATAATAGAATCCGCTTATTGTAATCACTTTTGGGCTCATTTATACTGATAACATTAAACAGAGTAAGTAAATAAGACTATAATTAGCGCAAATTCTTGTTTTATTAACTCTGGCATTAAAAGGACACGTTAAAATACTTTTTAAAAGTGTGTAATTTGAGAATGAATTTATTAATTAAAATTATTATAAATCATATTCTAATTTTAATAACATTAAACGACTGATATTATAATTACAATAAAACAAATGATAAAAAGAAACTTTGTAACGTTTTCACGTCGTATATATATTTTTTCTTTACAAAAAAATTAAATTTCGGGATATCGAAAGGTCCTGGCCAAATTTTATTGAGACCAGCAGGGTCCTGCTGGCACAAATTAGTCTAATAACACGAGATTCATTTGTTTAAAATAATGTTTTTATTTTAATATTTTCACTATTACTTTTCAATTCTGTTACATTCTCCTGTTATTTAAGTTAATTTTAAGTAATTATTAAATCAATAAAACCTTTACACAATATTTAATTACACGAATTAAAAATCGCCTCTCAAGATTTGCTTCTGGATTCTTCTTTGCTCGCTGGCCCAAATAAAAATTTCCAATTATATTTAGGACAGAGGGGCAATTTAATAAATATAGCAGGTAATTTTTGCGACAATCAAGCTATTGTGCAATTTTAAAACTCATAAAATACATGTGAAAATGGAGTTCGGTGTGCAAAACATCTTTTATTAGTGAAATATTATTTAAAAATGGATCTAGAACAACGCAGAAACAGGGCTAAACTACTTAAAACTTCCTTAACACTAATTCTGTAGTGTATTTACTGAAATCAGTTTGTTTTTTTAATGTTATTTTGTTTAGATGTAGCTCTCCACTGAGAACACGCTCATGTAGTACACCGAATACCATTTTCTAATTTCTCCTAGCACTGTTTACCGAGAATGTACGTAAGAATATTTCATATGAACTGCACAGTAACTTGGTTAGTCGTAATGGTTGTCTAATGTACGACATTATTAACATAGTTTCCGTGCGAGAATGTTGGAAAATTTTTTAAAAATTTTAAATTTTCCTTTTAAAAAATTAACTTATATCAATAATGATATCTTGTACAGTACATGCGGTATTTACAATTTATTTCCAACAATATTTATTAGGGGAGTTGAATCTACTCAAGGCTGAAGAAAGAAAGAGAGCGAGAAGCATGAGAAAGAGGATAAGAAAGAGGAGTAAGGTATCAGTAGGATGCTGAGCAGATAGGATGAATCAAAAACATATTTTTCTTATTAAAATGTATAGACTAGATCGGTAAAATTAAAAATTTAATTTATTTGAATGCTTCAAAATGAAATTTATATATTGAAAATTAAAAAGAAATAACTAAAAAATTATTGTAAAATTTAAGCATATATGTTTAACACTGTATAATATATCTCTTTCGAAAAACTGATAAAGGCATGACTTAATGCACATTCAGGTCTGCATCTTTAAAGTATTATTAGAGTCTATATAAATCTTCATATATTATTTACTGAGGATTTTTAAGCATATGTTTCTAAATAAGTCAAAAAGGAACTGTCTCGTACGTTTTTATTATGGAATATTATTAACATAGTTTCCGTGCGAGAATGTTGGAAAATTTTTTAAAAATTTTAAATTTTCCTTTTAAAAAATTAACTTATATCAATAATGATATCTTGTACAGTACATACGGTATTTACAATTTATTTCCAACAATATTTATTAGGGGAGTTGAATCTACTCAAGGCTGAAGAAAGAAAGAGAGCGAGAAGCATGAGAAAGCTTATACTAATGTACTGTAAAGCCTTATATAACAGAATATATTCATAGAATACATACATAAGGTCTATTAACTATTAAGAATTATATTTACAGTCTACAAAATGCAACGGAAAAACGAAAAAAAAAAATTATAAAATCCAGCAATTTTATAAAGCATAAACTCCAAATTTTATTTTCTATTTTGTTTATTTTATTATAGTATGATAAAATATAACCGTAAAAAGATCATTTCCATTTAGAGAAGAGGAGAGAGGATACACAATCTTGGGTTTCTTTTATATGTATACAAAGAGACGAGTAACTTTTAATAAAATCTAATTTAACACATTAAAAAAAATGAAATCAAATCTCGATTTAGCGCTCTCCTATATAGCGCCACTCTCATATAACGCCAACGATACTCACGAACAGATCTTCCTTTTAAATGTTAGAGAATGCTTTGACCGCATTCGATTTAGTACCAATTTCAGAAAAAAAAGTGGCACTATAACGAAGTTTGGCTGTAGAATTACAAAAAAAAATATCATTAAAAATTAAGTCATGAAAAATTTATATGCATACACATCAATAATATACCTGTATATACACTTAAATACATACACACATTATATATAGTCTACATATATAGACAATACATTCACGATTATTTGATCCTCGATTTTCCGGGTCTTTCATGTTGTCTGGCCGCATGTATTTCCCCCTTCTTAGTTTTCTCTAAGCCGGACAAACGACCATAACAATATTTACTTGTAAATATAACTCACATTACCTATGGATCGGTATTATCTGAATCTTTTTTTTGTTATACGGTCCGTTCTGTTTCCATTTAGGCCGGATAATCAAACATCAAATAGAAACTTTGCCTATAAGCAGTAGGACCCGATTATCAGAGGCCAACCTGTAACGGAGACATTACTTTTCTTAACTCTAAATTACTTTTTAATGTTTAAAATGATAAATTGTATTGAAAAATTATTTGTTTTTGGTAATACGAGGTCCAGATTAACTCGGATAATCGAGGTTCTACTGTATATATTATACATAGTCTCGATCATCCGGACTGATTTATTCCTGGTGCAAGGTACTAACCTGCACCTTATTTAAATGGCCACCTCTAAACGGCGGCCATTTTTAGGCAAGTTTCTTTATGAAATTCATACAAAATAACCTCTAAATAGCGGCCATTTAGAGGTTTGACTTGTATAAATTTAATAATAACTGCTTTAATTTCTAACAGTATAATCATTTATATTAGAGTAAAATGATTTAAAAATAATTTTTTTTTTCTTTTAAATGACTATAGCATTATATNTTTTTTTTTCACCTGTAAAATTATCTGAACGTTAAATTTATCTTTACTTCTTATGTAAATATTTATATATAAACCTTTAAAAAAATTAATTGTTTTTGAAATGAAATTAATTCAAGACTTTCTAAAATGAATTATTTATTTATTTTTTAATAATACAGAAAAATGTAATATAAACTGTAAATCTAATGTGCATTATTCATATATAAAATTATTTTAGAAATTCTTATTTTCTTGGATGTTGGAAAAATATGGCTACTTAATAGACTTTCCCACCCAAACCTCAAACTATTATGTATCTAGGTTAAGAGTTTTTCAGTTTAAATATTGTGTAGATTATCTTCAAAGTTTTTATTATTTAAAAAAAAAAATTTAATAATATATTATCCTGATCTATTTTTCCAAGTGAAAATTTAGCAGATAATTTTCCATTTTCTTCTTAAGTTAACTTCATTTAAATAATTTAAATACTAGTTTTATGTAGTTATTTTAACCATTTGGAGCATCTGTAAATTATTAGAATAAATTTAAATAAAATCAATTATTATTAGTCTTATTATATAGTTTTTGTAAAATTATTTAAATTATAAATTTTAGGTCTATAATTTTATTATATCTTGGAAAAAATAATATTTTATTTATTATGAAATCTAAAATATTTATGAGCCATTTTTCAAAATATCTTTCATGCATGACAGTTTGATAAAAATCTTATAAAACAATTACATCTTTTATATTATATGTAGTAAAGGTATTTTTATTTCTAAATAAATTAAATTTATAAATCTGGAGATAAATTTATGTTTTGTTTCTGACAATTTCCTCCACTTTGAGATATATTTAGCATGATGACAAGATGTCATTTTGTAATAAGTTTCTACTCACTCAGATGGAATTTCATAACAGGCCGAGTAATTAAATTTAATAGTTTTCCAAATAATTGACTATAAAGTTTCTAGTATCTTTTTTTATATTCCTCATTAAATGTGTGATTATAAAATTTTTACTAATTAACTATTTTATTTATACAATTTCATTTCCTGTGTATATATATGAAGCATTACCTTTTATATAATACAAGTTAGAGAATATTATGGCATTATATAAGACATTAAATATTTTAAATGTGATTTAAAACAGGAAGTTTGAAAATAATTTGCACATAAAACTTAACTAGCATTAAGTTCCTTGAGATCTTGGATCGATTAAATCCTTTTGTAAAGCTCAAGTTGCTCATGTGATACATCTGCAACAATTAATGTAACGAAAATCATATTTCATTTATGAAATTACTAAAATATTTCATCTCTAATTATTTGATTTAAAGAATAAATATTAAATTCACTTATGATAAATAGCTATTTATCTTCATCTAACTTAAGATGATTTTGGAAGATTGCATCTGCTTATTCCATTTGAAACAATCATCATTGGGAAAAGTATAGTAATGAGCTATGAAATGTGTTCTCTCCTTTTATAATAATATTTTAGTCTATTTTGTTTTGTAAAAAGTGACAACAGTACTTTTCATACAGAAAAATTAGACTAAACAAACAAACAATAGGTTTGAACTGTCTAAAAAAGTCTTTTTAAAGAATATCCACCATTATGTATACATACATACATTTTTTCAAGTTATACAGTTACAAATGCACTGGATAGAAATAACTAAGAAGAAGTGAATAGCAGCAATCAAGGATGACAGAGAGAGAATGGACCAAGTCAGAACACAGCTGTGACTTAATAGCTTTTACTGACTGGAACAACAATAGAAAAAAAGTCAAGATAGGAAAAAAATATTTAGTATAGATTGCATTTCTTAAGGTATAACAACATACAAGATTGAAAAGACAAGTATTTTTAAGAATAAAGAATGAAATATAGAATCAAGATTTGGTTAGGAAAGTATCCATTTTTATTTGGAAAAGAATTTTTATCCATTCAAATCAGGATAAAAATAATAAAAAAAAGTTTATAAATCAATAATTTTGAATGAAGTTAAGAAATTCAGTTATATCAATCAAATATTTGAATAAAATAAAAGTGAAACTGGAATATAAATTTATAGAATTGTACTAAAAGTATGGGACTTTAATTTAATTTAATATAGAATTATGTGAATGCAATAACTTTTCTATAAATAAATATAATATAAACATATTTAATTTTTCAATTTGTTTGACCAATCTCTTCTAACTTAAAATATTAGAATTTAGTTTTTTAAATTAAATAACCTAAATTAACTAATAGATAAAAATGTAATTAAAGATTAATTTAACAAATAATACTTAAAATATCCATAATTAAAGTAATAATTTATATTAATAACATTATTAAGAGATGATCACATTAATTTTTCTCTTGTAATATTTTATAAAAATAGAAAAATGTATAGAATATATTTATAAATTAAATGTAAACAAAAGAATGCCATTTATTTACTTTACAATTAACTTTATCTGTAGTTTATTAATTATTACAAAACTTTAGATAATCATTAGCATGGAACTGATGTTATATTCTCTTTCTCTAACTACTCTATACATCTTCTGTTCTGTATGTTTAAATATGTAACAATTTATCATGTGACATGATAAGTGTTTCATGTCTAATCTATTCCAGTTTTAAGTGATCTGAACAGTAAAGGATGATTTCTATCCACACACACTCAGTAATTCTTGAGAGATACTCCATCAACTATTATCAAGTAGAAAGGTAAACATTGACCTTCTACATAATAGCATTTTGTGAACTTTCCCAGCATTATAGAAATGAATTGAAAATTTTGATAATAATTTATATCTAAATTTTCACAAATTTATTATAATAATGTTAACTGTTTTACATAATGAAATTCATTATATATAAAAGCAAAAACAATTTATCTGAATTAGCTAATTCTAATTATTAATTTTAAAATTAATTCTGAACTTAAAACTCTTGTCTGTTTAATATAAAGACTAAAATTTATATATAAAAAGTTTAAATTATAAGCTTCTTAGTTAAAATATTACAATTTAAACGTAAAATTTTAATCTAATAAAATGTATACATGAAGATATATCTGTAGATATTTAATAAAGATATTCAACAATCTTAAATTATTTTAATATCAATTATATAATTTTCCTAATTAATTAATTCTTATCAAATTATCAAAAAGTTATCTCTTATCTATTTATTAGTTATCTCTTATTTTAAATATGGGACAGGTAATTAATATCTATT